CCACAATTCGAACCAAACATCCGACACACAAGTTCCAGACAGAACTCCCACTGCATGCACCATCCCTGGTAGACTAAGGCTTAGTCTCTGAATATATATAATTTTGATGGTAACAAACAAGCCCATTTAAATTGAAAAGGAGACCTAGGGAGACAAGAGATTCAGAACCTGGGGAAATCTAGACTTGCTTCATTTAGGGCTTTAGCACTACAGGGAAGGCTAGGCTGTAGGGAAAATAATGTGGTTCAGGGACTGTGAGACAGACGACATCCCTGGCAACGAAGCCGTGACGGTGAGTATACTCTTCGACGACGGCTAAGGGTGTACGACGTTTATGCGGGGCGTCGTAATAGTTGGTTGGTTGGGTTGTTGCTTAACGCCACACTCAACAATATTGCAGCTATATGGCGGAGATCTGTAAATAATCGAGTCTGGACCAGACAATCTAGTGATCAACAGCATGAGCATCGATCTACGCAATTGGGATACAATGACACGTGTCAACCCAGTGTCAACCTGACCACCCGATCCCGTTAGCATGGGCTGCTGAAGACCAGTTCGAACCCGGATCTTCTTCTTCTTCTTCTTCTTAGTAGTAGTAGTAGTAGTAGTAGTAGTAGTAGTTGCAGCAGTCGTAGTGGTAGTAGTAGAAGGTGAAGCACCCGTGCAGCAGTTGCAGCACTGAATCGGCCTTTGAAAGTCTGAACTCTATCACAGTGCAGTTGTCAGTGCGAGCCATATCAACAATCTTGACGTGAATAGCGGGGGCAGTGTTATCGCTGCGACGAGCTTGTAACTTCCTGTCTGTGATGTAATCATGTGAGAGTGTACACGTGTTACGTGCCGCTCTTAATAGTGTTTTACCTATGTCGTGGTCCCTCATCTTGATGTGGCCAAAACAGCTCAGATGGAATCAGATCGTAGACCTTTACCACTTAAGCGACATTCACAAACACAAAATTTACTCATGTATGTAAATTTGCACGTGTAAATATACATACGTGTGTAATAGTATATTTACTTTGCGTTCACATCGAATTTATGTAGAGTGAGGAGACTTGAAAGTGTAAATAATAAATGTATTAAATTGTCTCATTTTTTCTCTGAACTTCAACAGAGAACGATGTTGTCTTATCACTGGGGCTTAAGAAGAAACACGCAGTATCAGATAGGGCTGGGACGGGTACTCGGGTATTCGAATCCGGGTCGGGAACAGCTGGAATCGAGTCCTATTTCTAGGAATCGAGTACCCGGAAAAGGAGAGAATTCTGTAATGGCAAGGGCAGATAATAACTTGTCTTTTTAATGATTGACGTAGCACTCATTTGCATCATTGGTATTGTCCGATTAATAGAGGTTATTATTAACGACTACATATATATATATCTATATATCTGCGCATGAGCAGTGAGTAGTCAAGTTACAGTAACAGCAGGAGCGAAAAGTTCAATCTGTGTTTTAAGGAGGAATGTAAGTAATGGTGTTACTCTCTATATTGTTTAAACAAACGCAAATTATATAGCTTAATTTCAGTGTCCTATTGCTATTATTTCAAGTTTTCTTGAAAAATGTCTGTCAACTCGTGATTGAATATTCAGAAAGTTGACAGAAGCGCTTTATTCCTTACATTTCCGGGTACTCGATTCCGATTCGGGTAAGTACATGCGGATACTCGATTCCATTTTTTTCCTACCCGTCCCAGCCCTAGTATCAGATATGTACTGCTCTTGCAATAGGTTTGTCACAAGATATACCACTCTGGAAGAAAGAAAGACAGTCTGTTTGGTGGAACGACAAAGACTGGTACAATGATTTTCGAATGAACAAAGGGGTTTTCCATCTTATCTGCACACAACTGCAGGAGTACATAAAAGATAGTGACCAAGCTGTTCGCCAACCTTTGGATGTAAGAAACGCAATATGCTGGATGGCTTCAACTTCAGAATATAGAACTGTGGGGAATTTGTTTAGTGTTTGGGGGGGAAGTCCACAGTTTGTAAATGCATTCATGACGTTTGTCAGACTAAATGTGATGTTTTGTTTCCGGAATATGTAACGTTTCCCCTAAATGAAGATGACATGACACAATTTACTCACAGTGCAAATTTGCAAATATATACGTTTGCACCTGGTCCTGACCACATGTAAATTTGCACCTAGTGTATATTTACATCCGTGAGTAAATGCGTTCACATGACAGATTTACACATGTGTGTATTTATACATATGTGTGCAAGCAGGTGCATGTGAACGGGGCTTTAAAATAGTGACATTCACGAACTTTGGATTGATGCAGACCAAAAATCATAATCTGGAATAAGAATAGGAGAAGCGGATCCTGATTACACAGGGGGCGCAACTCCACAGAGCAAAATACGACGCCAGTGAGATCGTTAGGTGAACTATGACACTTAGCCTTGTTTGTGAGTGAGTTGAGTTTTACGCCGCAATCAGCAATGTTATAAGCTATTTGCGAGTCTTACAGTATATAGAAAGATGGACGAGGTGTTTGTGAAGAATATGGCGGGAATATTATTAATGTTTAAACATACATTTGACGAATTGTTATTTTTATATAACTTTCATGTACTGATTACATATTTTACTGCCATATTTCGTTCTCGCTGCGCAATGATTGGAACTAGAGCTAATGCGGTTGTGCTTTTCAAACTCGTGAATTTTCGGGATCGTGTTTTGTATATACTATTAACACTTTGCTAAGGATCAGATCATTGATTCAACAGAAAACTATGATGTGGGGTCAAATTTGGTTTAAATATCTAAGCTTATTGTAAGCATGGTTAGTAGGTTTCAGTATGTCATTACATCTTGTGGATCCCATACCTGCTATAGACATGTATTGTTTATTTGTCAATGACTCGTTCCATGATTTGCAAAATGGTTGATTGGTGCCATGAAAACCATTTTTATGGTTACTCATGTATCAAGTTCATAAGGTTAGATTAAAGAGGTTGTTTGCCTAAAGAAGGGTTACCATATTATAATTATCCAGTTTTAAATGGATACAATTTCAAATTATAAATTTATGTTTAAGTAAAGTTGGGAATTTTTGTGATCCTTAGCAAAGTGTGAGTAGTATAATACATGTCTGTATAAAGTTTTTGTGAAATCCCTCCTTGTCCCCACAATGTTTGGTTTGACGCCGCTTTTAGCAATATTGGGGGGAATCGAACCCGGGTCTTTGTGATGACGCTTTAACCACTAGGCACCGCATCAGTAGTAGCACAAGTCGTAATAGTAGTAGTAGTAGCTGCAGTTTTAGCAGTACCGAAAGTCGTTTTAAAAATTGACAGTGGCATTAACAGAAGTAGCGGCAGTTGTAGCAGTAGCGACAATAGTTGTAATAATATCAGTGAGTGAGTGAGTTTACTATTGTGCCGACACCAGAAATGGGCTTCACACATTGTACCCATGTGGATCTTCGGCGTGACGAGCGAACGCTTTAACCACTAGGCTACGCCACCACCCCTGTAATAATATAAGCGGTAGTTACAGAAGTGTAATAGTAGCAGCAGCGGAGGTAGTTGTAGTAGTAGCAGTAGTTGTAGCAGCAGTAGTTGCAGTAGCAGTCAGGCGCGAAGCAAGCCAGTTGTTGCGTGTAAACCCGATAGGTTGCAAGGTTAAATTTAGATAGTATTGATGGCTTGCTCAAGCTTATTAACAACGATCATGTTTAAGCCCGGGCTTTTTTTAATAACGGTAGCTACGCCCCTGGTAGTGGCAGTAGTTGTGATAATGTAAGCAGCAGCAGAAGCAGTAGTCGTAGTAGCAGCAGTCGCAATACCAGCGACAGTTGCAGACTTGGTATAACAGGGAATGTAGGGGTGGGGGTGGGGGGTATGAGCAGTACCACAGTGGTATGTATGGTATAATAGTTAAAAAGTGAATATTATTGGAAAGTAAAATCAGATATGTAACACTTCGTTCGCGACACCATACTCATCCTGTGTAAACCTTTTAGAACTATAAATACTAAATATGTCTGTCGTTAAATTAAAAAATAATTCAAAATATTATGATCACATCAATAGGGAAAAAGCATCATTATCATACAAATAGTGCTACTGCGTTTCTTTTGCTCGTGAGTATAGTTCAACCTGACAATTTTAGGTATTTTCTTATCGGCAATCATCAACAAATGGCAAATTATATGCTTCGGTAACGACTAACGATATAATCAGATATAAAATAGCAAATCTGTCGCTAATTAGTCATTCGATTTATTATTTGAGCCAATAACAACATCATACACAGTGGAATAATTGGGCTTTTTAACGGCAGCCATTTAAATGAGGAAGTACTAATTTCAACAACCAATCACAAATCTCATTCTCAGCACATGGTTCTAAATAAGCACAGGTGTAATTAACGGACAGGTGTAATTAACACCCTTAGGTACATTTCTTGCCACGTGCACCACGCGCCAAATGTCTCACATCAGATGACCTCACCAGCGCGTGGCCGGCACGAGTGAGACGCAGCGAAGGCTTTTAAATCTCGACCTGCGAGGCTAGTCTTGGTGTAGTGTCTATATTGTGCATAACTTGAACTGCATACTCGGATAAGCGACGATTTAAAATCCACTCCGTCTATTATAAGAGATCAATAAGCCCGGCACGTGAGCTCAACACCTCGCGCGGGATGAAAGTCAAGGATTGGTTGAACTGTACTATGCCATGTTTTGATTGGTTGAGACGCAGAGTCTATCTGTCAATCACACCAATCAGGCCTTGGCTTACAATGGCTGCGAGGAAGAAAGGATGAAAACACTGGCCTCTTTACACCGACTTTTGATCGCAACGTCCGCGGTTTGAGAATAGACCCCTAAGGTGAAAACATATTTTTGTACCTCTTCATATACATCCGCTATTATTAAAGCAACAAGTACGTAAAGATATAATTTGAAGAACTGGAGCAGGAAATAGTGCACAGTGGTGAATATACAAGGAAAATATGGCTGATATCGCTTGGCGGAGGAATATGTATTTGCAAGTGATGAGGCCAGCTCAACAAAGAGCACTCGTAGTAGAATGACAGTGTGTATGTTTTAAGGTGATACTGTATATTCTCAAAATTGTGTTGAAGATTTTTGGAAAGTACCAATAACTTGGGAGAAGCTTCGTCAAGGCTGCAGAATGCAGACGCCAGGCAATATGGCAAACCAGGGAAGCCCATGGGACCAGGGGAATAGAAGGTAAGCCAGCGGCGTGCTTTCGGGTCGCCATTTTGTCTAACTCCTTGCCTATTGTATATAAGAATTCTTCAAAATCTGCAAAATTAATTTCTGAAATGGTGACAGTGCGACTGGATATTGACCGTCATAAATTTGCCCCGTGGCATAGGTGTCAAGTGTAACCTGTTGTTATGCTACTGCTAGAATATCGGCGTCCGATCGCTCTATAATTCTTTTCCACTGTTTCCCTCAAAGTTGATTTGGTCCAATGACTGCATCCTCCAAGTCTTGTACCTCTCCGAAATCCGTTATTCCACATCTTGTATTGTCCAACTGTTGCTGCACGAGGGCTTCACGCGATGCCTCCTGAGATTTCGCGAGAACAGAACACCTGGCACCGCATCTGATCTTCAGCTGTGCGATATGAATATTTAATCCCCAGATGCTAGAAAATCTATGACTCGGCTGCTATTGTCATATATTCCTCTGTTATCTCCCGTGCCTTGATACTTTGTTCCACTGGGCGGTATATCTCGTATTTTGCCCTTTAATAATTTATATTCAAAATACACGTTCGTATATCAGGATACGTAAATAAACAACTGTCATCGGTAGTGTTGCATATTCAATCCGGTTTCCCGTCAGTCCGGCATCGTCCCAACTTCAGTTCGTGTTATGTTCAGAAAGTGCTTGATACTCTGTGTCCTTGGGGTGCACTAACACCAGTTTTATTGAGGACTCCAACACAACTTTTAAATGATTAAAACTGTCACCTCAGTGGCATGCTACCTAGGTAGGTGTTAAGTAAATAAACAAACGCTCAGTCCACAGAAAGATATTTCATCTACATGGGGAAAACCCAGGTGTATATACATACACATTGGCGAGCACTTCTTTCAATATGAAAGGATTTTATTTTGAACCTCGGAAACAGCTTGTCACATGTTTTAATTAGTGAAAATGTTTTGAAAGGTCATATTTTAGACTTGTGATTGCGTAAGATCTATGTTATAATTCTGGTGCGTGTTAGCATTTCTCCTGTAAATCATGATTAAGGATATCTATCCAAGATGATTTTCTCACCCCTAGCTGTATGATATAAGAAAATTTATATCATGGTTGCATTCTATTTTGTGTTTTCACACAGTCAAAACTGGTGGCATTTCAACTTGAAGTTTGGACAATATTATAATAGGAGATTTTTGTGATGAACTCTTTTTACTAACTCCTGCATTTCATCATTATATTGTCCCACAATACCGACCGAAGTATGTTCCCTCTATTTAGTACTTAAAATGCATCATATTCATACTCCCAACCAAACATTCAAGCTTTAAGTAAATGTCATCCATGGCCAAGGAATATGAACGGATACCTGGATACCAGTGCATTTAAAAACAATAAGATTAAAATAAACAATGGTATTTTTTTAATTATGAGGATGAAAAGGTATTAATGAATTTGGTGTTGCTTAAAGGTGGATAAGCTGTGAATGTTCTGTTTGTAATAAGTCTTCCTGAAAATAGTATCTTTTGAAAATGTCAAACATTTCTAGGAAATTGGGTTTATGGGGTAAAAAGTAAAACATGACATTTCTATGCCATACCTGGACATGTATTTGTTTTTCTGATTGCCACAGGTCAATATGATGATAGTCCACACATTGGTTGAGATGTTTTTTAATGTTAAGCTTTATTTTCTTTTACAAAGTCATTGTTAATCTAACATGATATGGATTATAAAGTGAAATCTACTGAAAGAATGATTGATCAGTCATCAGTTGCTTTCCTCATATCACGGTTTGTTCTTTTAAATGGGGATAATTTTATGATTTCCAAGAGAGACAAAAATATATTTGCAGTCACTTTGATAATAAAGTTTGAAAAAAGTGAAAAATCCCTAGCCCCAGATTTCAATTGATGTTGAATTGCCACATGTCCTTTTGTTTCATTTTTATAAGAAAAGTGTTGAATTTAATGTGGAAACCAAACGATAATTAGCAGAAGATTTGGACAAAAATCAGATATTTAACATTAATGGCCTTTGTGTTATAGTAGTTGTAAGTTAGTCAGGCATGTATGCACGGCTTGTTGATCGGTTTAAACGACTGTCAGTCTATTCTTGGAATACTGAAAGGGACATCCCTGAATTTGATACTTTTGTTACCATGGCTACACTAATGTTAATACCATGTTATTTCTTGTTTCGAAGAGAATCTTTCTGATATTTCAGTTTTGAGAAGCAAACATGATGAAGTGTGATCACATAACTATGATACCTGATGGAGACCAGGGACTTGATTGTTGTCCAGGCTCAACGATGAGGTGTTTAAATGTCATTGCTTCAAACATTGAATCCAAACATAGATATTTCTTGAATTGCTGAGTTGACAGTTGTCTGATACATGATGCCGTCAGAATGCCATCAGAAAAATGCATTGACTCTTTCAAGGGCTGTAGGGACATCAAATAATGTTGTACCTTGAGCAGCACAGTGACATCATGAGACAATGTGATGACATCAAACTTTACAGTGACATCATCAGACAATGCTGCAACATTGGGCAATGTAGTGACATCATCAAACAATGCAATGATGTCATCAAACAATGTGACATCAAACAATGCAATGTCATCAAACAATGTAGTGACATCATCAAACAATGCAATGATGTCATCAAACAATAGTGACATCATCAAACAGTGCAGTGACATATGAATGGATGCAGTGACATCATGCAATGCAACGACATCAAACAAGACGGTGACATCATCAAACAATGCAATGACATTAAACGACACGTTGAAATCATGCAATGTATGCAGTGACATCAAGCAGTGAATGCAGTGACATCAAACAATGCAGTGACATCAAACAGTGAATGCAGTGACATCAAACAGGACAGTGACATCATCAAACAATGCAGTGACATCAAACGACAGTGACATGCAATGACATCAAACAAGACGGTGACATGCAGTGACATCAAACAAGACCGTGACATCATGCAATGACATCATCAAACAATGCAATGACATCACCAGATAACAGTAACATCATTCAAGAGTGCAGGCTTGTTTAAGAAGGGTAGAGTATCTGAGTGGCTAAAGCATTGACTTGTCATGCCGAAGGGCCTTGTTTGATTCCCATCTTGAGTACATGTGAAGTCCAGTTCTTGTGTTATGCTAATATGTCTGAAATACTTATGACACAAATGGTAAACTGTTTTAGGGTTTTCCTAAACTGATTAAATATTTCAGTTGTGATATGTTTATCTTGCACTCTTCAGGCCCAAAATGCCTCTCATAACCTGCACAGGCATGGTAGCCTTTGTGTGTCGCTCATGGTGAGAACACGTTTCTCGGAAGCGGGTTAGAGTTACCTGCCCTTTTTTAGAAAAGAAATAACTTTTTAGTGGACAGAGGGTATGTTCTCAAGTAATATAATACTCTTTTGTGTGTGTGTGTCAGGGGTGGGGTGGGGGAGAATCTGTAGTCAATGTTTTGGTATCCCATTGTAAATATCTGAAACCATCTTTCCTTCAGTGTTGATTTATTCCTGATGTATCCAAGATATTCTTAACCCTATATGACCAGTCTAAACATGGTAAACCTCAACCTTTAAACCACAGGTATTTTTCTATACATATTCACCAGGGTAAAATTTGTTTACCATTCCATAGCTGTTACCAGAATAGAACAATAAGTTCAGTTAATTTTAGCAAAACAATTGGTTGCAAATATGAAGAGCGATGACAGTTTCGGAAGTGCTCAGATCTTTGACCCGTTTGCGAACAGTTGATGAGAGATTGATGTAACAGTTGGTATCCCGAAGTCAGCTGATGTCACATACATATACCAGTTGTCAACATTTAAAAAAAATGTTTATTGCATCAAAACAGTGGACAGTTGACTTGTTGTTTTTGGTGGTGCACTTTTGGAAAATATATTTTGAATTTATTTGCAATGGACAGTGGAATACTTTTGGTTTTTAATGTTGTATTTTGTTCATTTGTCAAATATGTCAGGGTCAGACTGCCAGAAAATTCTTCAAGACATTGAATATTTACTTGTGTCATCATTCACATGCATACTCGCTTGAATCAAGTCAATTGGGTATTTTTTAATCAATGGGGTGTTAAGAAAATGATACTGCTTAAAATCCTTTTTTACATTGAACTTAATTGTTTTCGCTCATGTGTTGTCTCACTGTTAAGATCACAAGACTGATGCATGTCTCCATTACAATAAAATGATATGTAGCCTTTTGTTTGTTATTGTCTACAAGAGAGTTTAAAATAATCCCTGATTCGATCAGTAAGGCCAAATAGTGTTGTGGTTCCAATTACACCTCTTTAAAATTTAAGGTAGGTAGGTAGGATTTTTTGTTTTTTACATTTTTTTTTTACAGTTTTTGTAGAAGTAAAGTACAAACTAATAACACATTTAAAAAAAGGGTTGTCACCAGAATTCAAGGGTCGGTTGGGTAATCGGAATCACAACATTTTTTAAGGCCTGAATAAAGATGTGCAAAATTATGTTTTTGTTCGCAGGGTGAAATCCTGTGTTTGGGAATTACACGAAGGTTGTTATATTAGTGGGTTTTTGAAATGTCATGATTATTTGTGTGCTAGCAATTCAAATCAATAGAGCTTTGGTAATGTCTTGAGCATACTTTATGCAAATAAACAGGTGATTTGGAGCTGTGCGCGGGCTGCTGAGTGTGGGATCATTGGTGTTTATTGTCAGTATGGCAGGGTAGCCGTGTGGTTAAAGCGTTCAGCTTGTCATGCTGAAGATCCAGGATCTGTTCCCCACATTGTTTTTGTGTGAAGCCTATTTCTGGTGTTCCCAGGGGCAGGGGGTAGCCCAGTGGTTAAAGCATTTGCTCATCACGCCAAAGACCTGGGTTTGATTCCCCACATGGGTACAATGTGCGATGTGGAATATTGCTAAAAGCGGCATAAAACCATACTCGCTTACCCAACGTTGCCGCTGTATAACTGGTTGTAAATAATCTAC